GAAAAAAAAAAATTGCTGCATCATTAACTTGCTTCTGCAAGGACGGCCTTGGTCTTTAGTGGAGCCATGCATCACAAAACTGCAGGAAGTAGCCATTCCTGATTCTTGTTCTGCAGCACTAACGGGGGATTGCACAGTTTTCTCTAAGGTACATGAATTGGAAAGAACATATTTTGGACAATCAGGAGGTTGACACTGTTCCAGGTTCCGCCCATAACTAGCCATGGGACTCCTAAGCCTCAATAGGTTCCTCTACCCATAAAGCAAAATGCTTGAACTTAATGTTCTCTATAGGCACTACTGGTATAAAATCTGTAGTTTTGTGATTTTTTTTCAAAATTCAAAATAGCTATAAAATGAAACACAACTTATACTGTTCACAAAACAGGTATGAATATACATTGAGATTTTATACTTTATACTATCGTTTTCCTCAGTTCTTGATTTTAAGACACATCATGAATTTTAATAGATTTTTTTGAGGGGTGGGGGAGAAAAATAGCACTTTATTAAATGTACATATTTATAATAAGAAAATTTCAGATATTGAAAAATTAAATTGTAAAAAATTTGCATCTTAGCATTGACATTTTTGGGGGTGAGTGTGTGATAAGGTCTCTCTTTATATATGAGGGTTAAAAATCTCTTTTTGTAAATACTCAAAATTCTCGAATTACAATTGACAATTGAACAGTGTAAGTGTAATTTAAAGTATTAGGAGAAAATGAAAAATGTTATTGAAGTACAAAGATTAAAGAGATGACAGTGGAAATTAAAGATTAATTTGGGTAATTATTTCATAAGTTATATAAATGTCTAAACAAAGGGTTTATACATGTCACTGTAATTGAAAAATAAAAAATATTTAGAAAAAAAATAAAGATTACTGGAGGTGGGGGGTTAAGCAGGGAAAAAGGAGACATATGTAAAACTTTAGACAATAAATAAAGAAAAGATTATATGGTAAATTTTATGTTTATCTGAATACTGAAGAACATAGTGACAGGAAATATACAAACATGCAGTTTCCAGTAAATCATTATCAAAATACATTGGAACATTTGAACCCATTAAAATTTTTTAACTCGGAATTATGTGTGTATTTTAACATGCAACAGTGCTTTATGATTAAAGCTCTCTTTGGTTGTAAGGAACAGAAACTTACTCAAGCTGACTTAAAAAGGAATAATTATTGTAAAGATGCAACAGGAAATTCTGTGAACATCAACAGACAGGTGCTGAAGTGCAGCTGGTCTTCAGAGGAACTAGAGTGACAGTGAAGACCCAAGTCCTGTCTCAGGCCTGAGATCTCTATAATCATGATGATTGCTCTACTAATGTTGCATGTGGCTGTTAGCCCCAAACCAATGCCATAACTTCAACTCAAGTTCCCGTACTGATGACTTCCCTCTGCATTCCCCTTCATCCAGTTAGTGATTATCTCTGTGCAGTGACTTGTTGTTGTTGTTACATAGGCTCAGCGCGCAGGATAGTTCAAGGTAAATTAATGAAGGTACACGAGCAGGCAGATGGCTAAGTGTCCAGTATTGGTTCCGCTATCCCAAACCTTCAACTTTGACAGCTGTGCAGCACCTTATCTATCTATTACCTCTTTTAACAATTACACATAACACTTCATACAGTGTATGGGGAGTGATGACAAGGTTAGGAGTTCTAAGGATTTGTGGAACACTAAGGTGTAACAAATTTAAAGCATTTAAGAATGCTTCAGCTAGTAATTATTGCATTAAAGGGAAAAATAACACTAAGCTTCATAGGATTGTAGTTAGAATTAAGAGCTCGAAGTGCCTAGGGCAGTAGTTGGAAGTAGTTGTTTCCCTTTCATCTGTTTATCTGTTTATTTGTAGGTTGTTTTGAAGATAGTTACTGTTGTTCCTTTCTCCTGAGATTGGTGTTTAGGAACAATTTCTCTGATTTCTGCCACCCGATTGCTTCTGAGTCCTGAGAATCTAAGATTGCCTTCAAAGCCAGGCCAGTGCTAAGAGTAGTTGACAATGGCATCAGCACCACCAAAAGTGACAGCAGCCGCCATAGTCATTGACTTTTCCAACATGACTCAGAAGAACTTGTATGTTTGTTTCTCTCACAGGTGGATTTGCTATCGTGTTTCTAGTAAGGACAAGCAACGGAATGAAATGTGCCTTGAAACGCATGTTTGTCAACAATGAGTATGATCTCCAAGTGTGCAAGAGAGAAATCCAGATAATGGTAAGGCTGCCCCTCAGACTTGAGACTGCTTATGTAAAATGGGGGTGGGAAGAGACTGTGCCCTCTCATAAAGGCGGGGGGAGAGGGTTGTTCCCTTTCCTGCAGTGGCAGAGAGGCCTCTGCACATCATGGAATGAACAGCATTGGGGTGTAAGATGCTGCTCTTGCCTTGGTCACCTTCAGTTGCAGGGTTGAAGAGAAAGGGACCTGTTGAAAGAACAGCTATATTTTTAGGTCAGAGAAATAGTTTTGGACATTGGGAAAATTTATTTCACAACATGGTTCCCAGAATTAACTGTGGAGTTTAATCTGGAAACCCTAGCTTTTCAGCAAACCTCCTCTTCTGGTCTTGTCTTCTATCAGTTACCAATCCAGTTTTCAACTCTCTTGAGCTCGTCAGCATTCTGTGACATATCTTTCCGCACATTTTTATTTTGTACATGTAGTTCTTTCCACCTGGAATGCTTCTCTCTTTTTTGGCCTTGAAACCTCTTACTCTGTGATTTCATTTATAAAAGTCTAAGAACAGGCAAAAGTGATCCTTGGTAATAAAAGTCAGAAAGCAGTTAGCTGGATGTAAGAAATTGATTAGAAATGGGCATGTGGGAACTTGAAATGTTTTATACCTTGTTTTGGGTAGTGGTTACACAAGCCTATATAATTGTTGAGCACCTTAAGATCTATGCATTTTATTATATGTTAATTATATCTTAAAAACTTAGTTTTCAAGATACAGATTAATATGTTTTAAAAAAGAGTTCCTGTCTATTAGAGGTACAAGACAAAATATTTACAGATAAAATAATATGATGTCTTGAAGTTAATGAGTGGATTTAGAAGAGAAACAAGATTGACAATGAATTGATTATGATCAAGGCAGAGTGATGGGTATATGTAAGTTTGTTGGAGTTGCCTCTTTCACCTCTATTTATGATTACACGTAAAAAATGTAAATAGTCTTTTAATCCATCATGTTTCCACAGTACTTTCGTTAATGCCAATTATATTGTTTATCTTGTTATTTTATAAATAGTACTGCTATCAGAAAGTTATTTAAAATCAGAAACTTTATATTCCAGCACATTGCTTGACATAGAGTAAATACTTAATAAACTTAGGATGAAATTAATGTATGAGTAATGGTAATAACAGATGTGCATGTTCATCAGGAGATGATGATTCATTTGTGCTCTGGATTTTAATGCTTTTGTAAAGAGACCTAAAAAGTGGATGAGGAGGCCATCGTAGGGATCCCACCAGGCTTTGCTTGCCCCTGCCCACCCCTTGTGGGGTTGCCCTTTTTGTGGCTACTTAGAGTAACTAGTTGTACTGTAGTTGAGTTACTGAAAGAACTCAGAATTTTAGAGAGCCTGGTACTACTTTGAATTTCAGAAAGCTGAAACTATTTGGGAAGTAACTGTTGATAGAAATGTGTTGCTGTCATCATTGCAAAACAAATAAGCAAAAAACCCTAAGGCTCATATAAATACAGTCAGGGCCATGAGGATCTGTCCACAGGCACCAATGTTCTCCCACTACCTTGCCACACGACTCAAAATGACTGTGCTCACTGTATTTTCCTTTATCCACTTCATAGGTTTTCTGGATGCTTACTACTCCCACCTTGCCCCTTCCTTGCTCAGCTCTTACACTTCATTTTCTGTCTTTGCTTCTGCTATTTTCTCTGCCTGGAATGTCCTTCTCATTCATTTTCTGGTGTTAGCAAAGTAATTCCACTCTTGAACTTTCTCCCACTCATTTATAAACATGTTCAAGGGCTTACTTTGTGCTAAGCAGGCATTGGAGTAGAGGAACTAAGAAGACACAGGCCCCATAGGAGCTCACAAATTAATGGACCTGATTAGGAATTAAATTATGTGGGTTCAAGTTCTGGTCTGGCCAGGTATTAGCTGTGGGAGTTTTGTTTTGAATTTTGTTTATATTTTTTAAAAACTTAAATACTCGAGTAGGTGAACTAAATAAACTTGTTACAAAAACATCAAGCATTTCCCCAAGTTTTTTCCTCCTTTGCCATTTCAGGGTCCCAAGGCATTCACTTTTAGTTGATTGATTTGCTATATTTCTAACTAACATGCTGACATCGCTAACTCTTGATCTCCCCTCCCCAATCCCTGGCAACCACTGATTTAGTTTGCCTTTTCCAGAACTTCATATAGTTGAAGTTATTCAGTATGATTCAGTATGTAGCCTTTTTGAATTGGCTTCTCTCAGTAATATGCATTTAAGGTTTTTCGTGTCTTTTTTATGGCTTGATAGCTCATTTATTTTTAGGGCTGAGTAATTTCTTTGTATGGATGTATCACAGTTTACCTATTCACCTACTGAAGGATATTTTGGTTGCTTCCACATTTTAGCAGTAATGAGTAAAGCAGCTATAAACATCTGTGTGCCGGTATTGGTGTGGGCATAATTTTCAACTTATTTAGATATTTCATATATTTTCAACTAAGCAATTATTATTTCAGTTTTAAAGATTCCCTTTTTGTGTTTCTAAGCCAGGGCTAGAATCTGTTTTTAAACAGAATCCTCAGCTGATTCATATTTATATGAGTGTTTGACCACACTACTTAGAATCAGATTCTAAATGACTTTAAAGATCTGTTTATTAAGTACAGGATTAATTAATGGTAAGACTTGGGAAAAGGAGAGTACATTTGAGTGTAAAAAGGAGAATATCTAGGACTTCTTATGTAGGTAAACCCACAAGGGTCCCAGATACCATGGCCTTCTATAACTCCAGGACCAGCCCTGGAGTTCTTCCTTTCATTACTACACTGGACTTGACAGTGTTTGTATGCCTGTGAATAACTCCTTGAAGAAAGCTATAAAGGAAATTTAGAGTTATAGAGAAGGAAAAGTAAGGCAAAAGACTCCTTTACAAAGCAACTTTGGGAGAGGGAAATTAATTTCAGGCTTTAGTACTGCTTTCCTTCACCTTTTAAATTAAGAAGAAGCTGAAATTTGGTTAAAAGGGTCTGTGCAACCCTAGTGTGATTCTAGAAGTAGGTAGCAATAATGTTGACTCAAATTCAGAAAACACTGAATATTTGAATGGAGGGTCAAAAGGGGTTAATATACCTTTTTGGAAACTTACTTTATGCAAATGTAAGCACTGTAAGAATCAGGAATCTGTAGGTTTGATGCTGACATTGCAAGGAAGGGTAGCTTGAGAAAT